TTTGTGAGGCAAATATAAACATATCTTCGCGGGTAATGTTGCCAAACGTGGACTCCGGGACCCCGAAGTTTTTGGCCAACACATCGACCGGTATGTGTCGCACCCAATCGGTGAGCATAAATGTGTCAAACGCGTTAAAATTACCATCGTTAAACACCAACAGGAAAAAGCAGCCGTCATCGCCCACACCCTGTATGCTATGGGGTATACCGCCGGGGAATACCCACAAATCACCCTCATGCACGTCATCGATAAATGCCCGGCCCTTCTGGTCGACGGCAGTGATGCGGCAAGTGCCCTGGAGCATATAGGCCCACTCCGCGCTTACGTGCCAATGCAACTCCCGTACGCCGCCCTTGTTCAGTTTCATCTGTACGCCAGCCATGGTTTTGGCAATGGGAAGGTCCCGGACAGTGACCTGTCGAGTCCAGCCACCGGTGAATGTGGCCGTCCGGGCGAATGAGAATGGGTATTTAAATGGTGGCTGGCCACCATTGTCAGTTTTGACTCCGTTTACTGACTGTACGTTTTGTTGGTCGAGATCTTTGTTGAATAGTGGTGAGTTAATTGGACCGTCGCACAGGTGGTTGTGGATGTGACATGCTAGTAGTGTTATTATTAGCGAATACAGCATGTTTATACTTTTTAATTATTTATTGACATTTTTTATTGCATTTTATTTTCAAATATGGTTTAATAATACTAACATTAGTTTAATGATGTTATTAATATATTTTTTATTATATTAAAGAATTTAGTTTAATAGACAAAAAAAGTACAACTAATAAATTGAATTAAAAATTAATCTCAAATAATAAAGTCAAAAATTAGATAAAATTGTTTGTTTTGTTTGATGCATAAAATGATCACTTCTTGGACTTCGGGGGTCTCTTTATTGTCAGTTCTGTGGGTCTGTTATCACTCGACGCCGAAGATAACGATGTCGTCGACATTATTGGCTGCAAAGTGTCTACATTTTGATCCACTGTTTTGTACTTCGGGTAAACTCTAGGCTTAGATGTGATGCTCTCCTCCTTTTTGGTCATAACTCTATACATAAGACACGCCATCAATGCTGTCATCACTACTAGTATTAAACTAACGGATATTATGATAATCATAAGCCATGGGAAGGTCTCGCCGTTAACTTTAATTGTTTCATCCATTTCTCCACATCTAATCCATTGAGAGATTGTTTGATTCAAACAGTTGTCGTCAAACTGAAAAGTCCTGTTATGCAGACGACAGACACGATTGCCGGCAATGAAATAGAAGTAATCATTGAATGCAAAGCCGGCCGTCGTTTGTGACAAATGCGCCACAATTTCATCGATTTGGTGTTTATTGTAGTTATTCTTCTCGAGCTCTGGAACCAAATACCTAATGCCATGATTAAAACTATTGACTCCTTTGTATAAATCATTTAATTTTATGGGATATCCTAAGTCTGGGTTTCCAAATAAAATGCTTCGTTTCCATACAAATGGTTGGATAACTATCTTTTCAAAAACAATGCCATTGCAATAATATTTTGGTTGATTAAATACTTTGGCAATTGTCTTATTGCGTGGCCATAAATGCCATTTCCTTTTCATTCTCTCCTAATTAACAACATTTTAAGTTTGCCACACATTTACACACTTTGTAATAAACTCACATTTGACAAGGAAATAATGTCTCCGTTATTGTCATAATTCACACAATTAAAGGGACCGACAATACCTGTTGACCACTCGTTCAATGGTATGGATCTCTTGTATTGAATCGTTTCGTTTGAATCGATAGTCAAGTGATGGACAGTTGTGTCGGTAAACAAAGTAATGACATCAGAGTATTTGTCCACAAATGCCGAATCAATTGTGATGTTTGTGTTATCACACAATGGATTCTGGGGTTAAATATGAAATCAATACTATTTTTAAATAGATTTATGTTTAAAATCACTGACCGATGCATTCAATACAATCACAAGTTGTAATAAAATCGTAAATAATCTCAGAATTAATATCATTTTATGTAATGCTTTGATTTAATTGAAATGAAATGCTTTCAAAATAAACGAATTACTAAATATCTAATAATAGATAAAATGTCATTCAATTGAAATCAAATTTCAAATTTCAAGTCTAATTAATTGATTTACTAAAACATTGTTGAAATTATTATTCTTATTAATTATATTTTTAATTAAGTTTATTATTGATAATTATTCTCATTTAATATTATTAGATATTATTTAAAACCAATATAAAGTGGTAATGTATTAATATTTTTATTATTTTATAATGTGTGTATTTATGGCACACCTTAACATTACATTAATTATTTTATGCAAATCTAGAGTTAAACAGGTATTAATTTTGTCTAATATTGATGAAAGTTGGGAAACTATTTTTAATATAAATATTTAGTTAGATAAATTATAATTTAAAAGTTGACACGAATTGATGCAACAAAATAACCAATTTATAGTAAATTATAAAACAATTTAAAAAATACATGTATCATTCTGTAATTGAGAATTACTTTACAAATTTTAAGGTCGAATAGACTGTTGTGTTTTGGGTATACCATCGATGAAAGCCTCGCCGGTGAACAGGTGTTCGTCGACAAGTCGGGACGGCGTGTGGGCTAACCATTCGGCGAGCGATATGTCGTGAAAAGTGTCGGTCGGAAACACTTCGACGAACACGACATCATCGGTGCCTATATTCTCGATATAATGCGGCGAAGACTGTTCAATATAACCCACATCTCCCTCTTCAAAGTTCATAGTGCGGTGTTTACCCCCCGCGGCGAACACACCCATCCGTGCCTTACCCTTGAGAAAGTAGTTCCATTCGGGTCCGTTCGGGTGCCAATGCAACTCTCGGAGGGCACCGGCCTTTAGGGTGACAATCGCGGCGGCCATCGTTGTCACCGGGAAGTTGCGTTTGTCAATCAACTTAACCGAACCGCCGGTTCGGGTGACGTTAGCCGGCATTTGACTAGCAAAGTATGCGTAAGGGGAGGGCACATACCCCGTGCCACTGCCCGACGCCTCCTGTTCCTCCTCTAACCCGCGGGGCATTTGTGATGCAAATATATACATATCTTCGCGGGTAATGTTGGCAAACGTGGACTCCGGGACCCCAAAGTTTTTGGCCAATACATCGACGGGTAAATGTCTGACCCAATCGGTGAGTAGAAATGTGTCAAACTCGTCAAAATTACCATCGTCAAATACCATCAGGAAAAAGCAGCCGTCATCGCCCACACCCTGTATGCTATGGGGTATACCGCCGGGGAATACCCAAAGATCGCCTTCGTTTACGTCATCAACAAACGCCCTAGCTTGCTCATCGACGGCGGTAATACGGCAAGTGCCCTGGATCATATAGGCCCACTCGGCGCACGCGTGCCAATGCAGCTCACGTACGCCACCCCTTACCAGTCGCATCTGTACCCCTGCCATGGCTTTGGCAATGGGTAGGTCCCGGACAGTGACCTGTCGAGTCCAGCCACCGGTGAACCTACCGGTGTTGGCAAATGAGAATGGGTATTTAAATGGTGGTTGATCACCATGGTCAGTGGGTGGTGGGTCCCATGATAATGGGTTTTGATCGTCTAAAATGGTATTAAATAAGTCTGAAGATTCGCACAAGCAGTACAGTAAGCCTGACAACAAGGTTAATAAGGTAAAGATTATCATAGTAAAATTAATTGGCTAAATTTAACACCATGCACTATATCAACACAATCTCTCTCAATTTAGTGATTCTAATCATCATGATTAACTATATTTATTTAATTACTAGTAAACTAAAAAATTTTCATGTACTACTGTACAATTGGCTAAATTTAACACCATGCACTATATCAACACAATCTCTCTCAATTTAGTGATTCTAATCATCATGATTAACTATATTTATTTAATTACTAGTAAACTAAAAAATTTTCATGTACTACTGTACTACAGTTGGGTTATTTTGAATTATGTTTTTAATTAATCGTAATTCACCTTGCTGTACTATAATTTATTAAATAAATATTCCACAAAGCACATTAATTATTTTGTAATTTCAAGTCTAACAAATAAAACAGTTTTGAATTAAACAGTAATCAAATGTTTCGTAAAATCGAAAAATAACAATTCCAGTAAATATACAGATTATTAGTAAATCCATATGATTTCAAAATAATATCAAAGTAATACACTATAGATAGCGTTGCCATTAGTACAGGAATTCTTGTAAAATTAAAGAATCAGGGAATATTTGAAGAGTACATGAATGAGTTTTAATTCCTTTACATTGAAAATGAATAAATATTTTAGCGAAAAATTGTAGACACATTAAAATATTTAGAGTTGCTTATAATTATTGTTGTGTACAGCATTATGTACTTATTTAATAATAAAATGTACAAATAATTAAATGCTAGAATTGTTTTTTTAAAAATAATTTTGAATATTTTAATTAGAAAGTTGTGTTATAATTATGCATAATTTTCAAATAAATAACACAATTACATTATGCGTTACTAACTTTATTAAAAGTAATAAATTAATGTACATTTTAGGCTTATTAAAGACACTGTGTACAAATGCAGCGGCCATCAGGCAACATTACGGGCTTTCCGTGTCCGGTGCAGTTATATTCAAAGCAGTTATCTATGATTAGTATTTAAAACGTTAGCGGTTTTAGCAATAATTTCATCATGGTGTTCAATAATGTAATATTTGTTTACTAACCTATACACATTCCTCTTCCGTCGTATGTGAAGCCCTTATAACAGACACATATCGCCAGTGCCTCATAGGTGTGATCATCCTTTTTCTCCACAGATATATAACATTTTCCATTGGCAGTACACTTATCCTTACATAATGGCAACACTGCAATTGTCCATGTGCGTTCGATTTAATAATATATTTAAATAAAAATATTGATTAATATACTCAATTACTTAAAGTGGAATTTAAAATTAATATTTAATAAATAATTACCATCGCATGTTTCAATTTCGTGATTGTCAACGGGAGGGCTGTTATATACCTCGAGAGGTGTTCTGTTTGTGATATTGAACATCACGAGTGGTGTACATTTGCAGCTATACAATGAATTATCCCTATCGTTTTCACATGTTGAGTATAACGGGCATTGGTTACGGCTTGTATCACAACCCTAATCATATAAATTTATTAAATTTAATAATATTCTCTATGACAATGTTTAAAAAATTATGATTGATTTAATTTTAATACAATGTACTTATATCGCACACTGTTTATATCACAAAAACTTGATGTAAAGTAAACTTTACATTAATGTAAACTTTACATTAATGTAAATTTTACATTAATATTATTGATGAGAATGTGAAATTAAACTAGTTAAATTGATAAATTTAAAAAAGTTAAACACACCTTTAGTACAGTGAGTTGAGTTTGTTTGATTTCATTAACAACAAACAGTAAACGTTCATGGCCAATCGTTTTGGGAACAGTTATGAAACAATCCTTTGGGTCACCGATAGTTGACAACGGGTGGCACATATTCTCCAAATATTGACCCAGTTTTATCTTTGTGTAATCGACTCCCTTCTTAATTACAGCCGTGAAAACGCACGACAAATACTCTCCAGGAGTGCACTCTTTGAGTCGCAACGCACCGGGAGTTGACTCAAACTCAGTCACACCGGCCAACATTGTGAGCACTTCCCGTTGGATCTGATCTCTTTGATATGCTGTGCGTTTGTCTCCAATGGACTTCTCATAGAGCGCCAAATTCATGGCATTTGTCGATTGGATATCGTTGTAAATACCGGTCCAGTCTTGCATCGGGGACTTTGCGTATTCAACCAAACTGAATTGTTGTTGTACGGGTGCTTCAAGCGGTTTAAATGGTAATACATTTTTAATGGATAGGGTAAATTTCACGGTCACTTCGGTGGCCACGCATTTGCCAGATTGATACATGAGTCCGGGCCGACACACACAGTAGTCTTGGGTCGTTTCAGTTATTTTATAAGCTATGTTTGGGTCGCAGTCGGCGTTAATACGATCGCACGCGAGGTTACGGTTCTTATACATGCAAACGGGTTGACACACTTTACTCGCCTCAGCCCGTATAGTGCCGTCCGGACACTCGCACNAGTGTTGCCATTATGTAAGGATAAGTGTACTGCCAATGGAAAATGTTATATATCTGTGGAGAAAAAGGATGATCACACCTATGAGGCACTGGCGATATGTGTCTGTTATAAGGGCTTCACATACGACGGAAGAGGAATGTGTATAGGTTAGTAAACAAATATTACATTATTGAACACCATGATGAAATTATTGCTAAAACCGCTAACGTTTTAAATACTAATCATAGATAACTGCTTTGAATATAACTGCACCGGACACGGAAAGCCCGTAATGTTGCCTGATGGCCGCTGCATTTGTACACAGTGTCTTTAATAAGCCTAAAATGTACATTAATTTATTACTTTTAATAAAGTTAGTAACGCATAATGTAATTGTGTTATTTATTTGAAAATTATGCATAATTATAACACAACTTTCTAATTAAAATATTCAAAATTATTTTTAAAAAAACAATTCTAGCATTTAATTATTTGTACATTTTATTATTAAATAAGTACATAATGCTGTACACAACAATAATTATAAGCAACTCTAAATATTTTAATGTGTCTACAATTTTTCGCTAAAATATTTATTCATTTTCAATGTAAAGGAATTAAAACTCATTCATGTACTCTTCAAATATTCCCTGATTCTTTAATTTTACAAGAATTCCTGTACTAATGGCAACGCTATCTATAGTGTATTACTTTGATATTATTTTGAAATCATATGGATTTACTAATAATCTGTATATTTACTGGAATTGTTATTTTTCGATTTTACGAAACATTTGATTACTGTTTAATTCAAAACTGTTTTATTTGTTAGACTTGAAATTACAAAATAATTAATGTGCTTTGTGGAATATTTATTTAATAAATTATAGTACAGCAAGGTGAATTACGATTAATTAAAAACATAATTCAAAATAACCCAACTGTAGTACAGTAGTACATGAAAATTTTTTAGTTTACTAGTAATTAAATAAATATAGTTAATCATGATGATTAGAATCACTAAATTGAGAGAGATTGTGTTGATATAGTGCATGGTGTTAAATTTAGCCAATCAATTTTACAATGAAAATCTTCACCGTATTTACCTTGTCGTCAGGCCTACTGTACTGCTTGTGCGAACCTTCAGACTTATTTAATACCTTTTTAAACGATCAAAACCCATTATCATGGCACCCACCATCCACTGACCATGGTGATCAGCCGCCATTTAAATACCCATTTGCATTTGCCAACACAGGTAGGTTCAGCGGAGGCTGGACTCGACAGGTCACTGTACGGGACCTACCCATAGCCAAAGCCATGGCAGGGGTACAGATGCGACTGGTAAGGGGTGGCGTACGTGAGCTGCATTGGCACGCGTGCGCCGAGTGGGCCTATATGATCCAGGGCACTTGTCGTATTACCGCCGTCGACGAGCAAGCTAGGGCATTTGTTGATGACGTAAACGAAGGCGATCTGTGGGTATTCCCGGGCGGTATACCCCATAGCATACAGGGTGTGGGCGATGACGGGTGCTTTTTCCTGCTAGTATTTAACGATGGTAATTTTGACGAGTTTGACACATTTCTACTGACCGATTGGGTCAGACATTTACCCGTCGATGTATTGGCCAAAAACTTTGGAGTCCCGGAGTCCACGTTTACCAACATTACCCGCGAAGATATGTATATCTTTGCCTCACAAATGCCCCGCGGGTTACAGGAGGAACAGGAGGCGTCGGCCAGAGGTACGGGGTATGTGCCCTCCTCTTACGCCTACTTTGCCAGTCAAATGCCGGCTAACGTCACCCGAACCGGCGGTTTTGTTAAGTTGATTGACAAACGCAACTTCCCGGTGACTACAATGGCCGCCGCTATTGTCACCCTAAAGGCCGGTGCCCTCCGAGAGTTGCATTGGCACCCGAACGGACCCGAATGGAACTACTTTCTGAAGGGTAGGGCACGGATGGGTGTGTTCGCCGCGGGGGGTAAACACCGCACTATGAACTTTGAAGAGGGAGATGTGGGCTATATTGAACAGTCGGCCCCGCATTATATCGAGAATATAGGCACCGATGATGTGGTGTTCATCGAAGTGTTTCCGACCGACACTTTTCACGACATATCGCTCGCCGAATGGTTAGCCCACACGCCGTCCAGACTTGTTGACGAACACCTGTTCACCGGCGAGGCCTTCATCGATGGTATACCCAAAACACAACAGTCTATCCGACCTTAAAGTTTGTAAAGTATCTCAATTACAAAACAATGAATTTTTTTTAATTGTTTCATAATTTAATAGAGATTGGTAATTTTGTCGCATAATTCCGTATTAATTTTCATATTATAATTTATTTAACTAAATATTTCAAAAAATTTCCAACTTTTATTAACACTAGACAAAATTAATACCTCTTTAACTCTAGATTTGCATATAATAATTAATGTAATGTTAATGTGTGAGATAACACAAATAAACACATGATAAAATAATAAAATCCTTATTAAATTACCACTTTATATTGGTTTTAAATAATATCTAATATAAACATTTTATATAAATGTGATAATTATTCAGTAGCATAAACAACAACGCCATGACTTATATAATAATAGTGGACTAAAAGTGTGTTATAATAAGTGAATTAATTATCGCACCTAAATTTACCATGATAACAAAAATTAACTTTATTTGTCTTACGCTGGTGCAATTATACATCAAACATTTCGGTAAAATTAATAATGTATTATTCAATTTACAGTAAAGTAGATATCTAGCTAAATCATTAAAGTAAAGATTTAGATAATAAACTTAACATAATACATTGCAATACTTACACTTAAATTATGTGACATACAGTAAGAGTATATCTAAATAAATATTATATTTTAAACAATTTAAAGTAGCGGCCAATACATGCGAACCGTGCGGTTGTAACGGTTGGGTCGCTTACCGGGACGAGAAGTGTTACCGTGTATTCAACACAACTTCTCTCATGACATACACACAAAGCGCGCAATTCTGCGCCGGTCTCCGAGCGATACCTTTTTCGGCAACTTTAGCCACCATTCATACGGCGGACGAGCAGTCATTTCTGGCCAACTATTTGGCCCACATTTTTGCCAACGGAACTGACGTATGGATCGGCGCGAGTCGGTTCGCTCGGGTCTACGATTTCAAATGGATCGATGGGTCGATTATGGAGTACAGCGCGTGGCTGTCGGGCCAGCCGTCGGACGATTACGGGTTTGAATGCGTGGCCATGAAATCCCGATATTCAGTGACAAACGCGACGAGAGACGGCCATTGGGCGAACGTGTTGTGCGGGTCCGCACATATGGTGCTGTGCCAACGGTTACAGTATTGGACGTATCGGGAGCTGCAGCCGGTGCTCATGGGTGTCCGGCGGCGCACCAGTAGGCTAATGAACGAGCTGGATGCTTTGCGATACGAGTTAGAAAAAATTAAACTTGAAAATATAAAATTAAAAATTCAATTCTATGAAACGGATAATGAATCCAAGAAATATCAGTTACTCACATCTAAAGTGATGTTGGATGTAATGCAAAGTCAACAAACTGTACTAGATTTGATAAACAACCATTTTGGGCATTTAATTAGTGAGAGTCACAATTCTTCATCGGTGTGACAATTTTATTCAAAAGTTTTATCATGTATTAGCATATTTTATTCTATTGGTGTTCAATCTTTTTTAGTATATCACAGGTACAGATTCACACTATGCCATAAAAAGGTTCAATATACACTATGTATATACTATTCATATAAACCTTTACAAAATTTGCATTTTATAAATTTTATACGTTCTCTGTATAATATGTTCATTCATTTGAATGATTAATAATTTTTAATCCAAACTTTGGAACATAATTTTAATGTTGTGTGTGACAATTGGCTTTTCTACTCCAAGTCTCTAATAGAGACTTGATTGAACAAGAGTATTTTATTCAGATATATCTTACACTTACACTCTAACAATTTGGATTTGAGCAAATAACTAAATATTAATATTCAATCACAAAATGAATATAATAATAATCAGTGATTATTAATCACGTTTAAAATGAATAATAGTTGATAAACTATTATGATTGATTCGATAATCACGACTAATTATTTTCTAGTCTTTAAATCTTTCCTTTAAACACTGTTGCTTTAAATACTATTTAAAATAAACTAGATTATTCTTAATCTTGTATATACATAATACAAGCTAAATACTTTGTTATAAAGTGTACATTTTGAAGTTTGGGTAATTTTAAATAATTTTCATGATGATTTTTATGAATTTCTATAACAACAAACTTGTAAGTACTATTGTAAATCAAACGCTTTATAGTAGCTACTAATTGAATGCATGAAACATTCGAAGCAATAGGTTACCTGGTTTAAGAAATTCATAGAAAATATTGATATCTTATATATAAGATATAATATATTAATAACATCATTATATCAATAAGTAGTATTATTAAAACCATATTTGAAAATAAAATGCAATAAAAAATGTCAATAAATAATTAAAAAGTATAAACATGCTGTATTCGCTAATAATAACAACACTAGCATGTCACATCCACAACCACTTGTGCGACGGTCCAATTAACTCACCACTATTCAACAAAGATCTCGACGAACAAAACTTACAATCGGTAAATGGAGTCAAAACCGACCAGGGTGGTCAGCCACCGTTCAAATACCCATTCTCATTCGCCCGGACGGCCACATTCACCGGTGGCTGGAGTCGACAGGTCACTGTCCGGGACCTACCCATTGCCAAAACCATGGCTGGCGTACAGATGAAACTGAACAAGGGCGGCGTACGGGAGTTGCATTGGCACGTAAGCGCAGAGTGGGCCTATATGCTCCAGGGCACTTGCCGTATCACTGCCGTCGACCAGAAGGGCCGGGCATTTATCGATGACGTGCATGAGGGTGATTTGTGGGTATTCCCCGGCGGTATACCCCATAGCATACAGGGTGTGGGCGATGACGGTTGCTTTTTCCTGTTGGTGTTTAACGATGGTAATTTTAACGCGTTTGACACATTTATGCTTACCGATTGGATGCGCCACATACCGCTTGACATACTGGCCAAAAACTTTGGGGTCCCGGAGTCCACGTTTGGCAACATTACCCGCGACGATATGTTTATATTTGCCTCACAAATGCCCCGCGGGTTAGCCGAAGAGAGACAGGCGGTGGGTAAAGGCACGGGTCATGTGCACCAGTCGTACGCCTGTTTTGCCAGCAAAATACAGGCCAACTTTACCCGAACGGGCAGTTCGGCCAAATTGATTGACAAACGCAACTTCCCGGCCACTACTATGTCGGCGGCTATTATCACCCTAAAGCCCGGTGCCCTCCGCGAGTTGCATTGGCACCCGAACGGACCCGAATGGAATTACTTCGTGAAGGGTAGGGCACGTATGGGTGTGTTTGCCGGGGGTGGGAGGGCCCGCACCATGAATTTCCAAGAGGGAGATGTGGGTTATATTGAACAGTCTGTCCCGCATTATATCGAGAATATCGGTACCGAAGATGTGGTGTTTATCGAAGTGTTTCCGACCGACACTTTTGCTGACATATCGCTCGCCGAATGGTTAGCCCACACGCCGTCCCGACTCGTCGACCAACACCTGTCCACTGGCGAGCAGTTTATTGATGGCATTCAAAAGACTAAAGCACTTATTAGGCCCTAGATTTATTATGGTTGTTTTTATGATAATAATTTTTGTTTATATTAATTGTATTCATAATTAATAATTACTAATTATAAATCATTGTTTTGTATTCAATGCTAATTGTTATAAAAATAAATATTAGGATTTTAATTATCTGTGTACAGGTACTACCTTACAAATTACCAATTGTTGTTTACACTTTTATAATTAATAATTTTTTTATATAGCAATTAATTAGAAAATTTATTTTATGTTTGCGATATTTATTAGAATAATAAATTTGAAATTATAACATTTTTTGCTCTCAAGGGTACTATTCTTGGTAATCAATTAAAAATTAATGTTGATTAAACATAAATCTAAAACAAATCTAAATTCAATGCCAATTACCATCTGGTTTTATTTTGTTAACTAACTTATATGTTTATAAATAGATTTATTTTATATATTTAACTAACTTATATGTGAATAAAATTAATTTAAATACAGAATTTAATGTCAAATTAAAATATTATTATAATACAGTAATATAACTTACTATAACGTTGTATAATTAATTCTGAATGTTTTAATAAACATGAGTTTAATGTACACCAAGTCATTTAAGCGTTCTTAATCATAATACTGTAAATATTGTTGAATATGAGCAGGACAATATGTTTACGTTAACTATTTGTAAATAATTATCTAGATAACTAGACTTTTCCCAGAATGGAGAGAGAGAGAGAGAGAGAGAGAGAGACGACAGATCGCTGTATAAGCGTTAATAAATAAAACAAAAAATAGTTTTGCCAGCAAAATACAGGCCAACTTTACCCGAACGGGCAGTTCGGCCAAATTGATTGACAAACGCAACTTCCCGGCCACTACTATGTCGGCGGCTATTATCACCCTAAAGCCCGGTGCCCTCCGAGAGTTGCATTGGCACCCGAACGGACCCGAATGGACTTACTTCGTGAAGGGTAGGGCACGTATGGGTGTGTTTGCCGGGGGCGGGAGGGCCCGCACCATGAATTTCCAAGAGGGTGATGTGGGCTATATTGAACAGTCTGTCCCGCATTATATCGAGAATATAGGCACCGATGATGTCGTGTTCATCGAAGTGTTTCCGACCGACACTTTTGCCGACATATCGCTCGCCGAATGGTTAGCCCACACGCCGTCCAGACTCGTCGACCAACACCTGTCCACTGGCGAGCAGTTTATTGATGGCATTCAGAAGACTAAAGCTCTTATTAGGCCCTAGAGTTATCATGGTTGTTTTTGTTTACATTATTTATATTCATAATCTATAGTAATTTAATAGTTTATAATTTAATAATTTAACAGTTAATTCAATCACTGATTATAAAACATTGTTTGTATTTTTAAATTTGTATTCAATGCTAATTATTATGGAAATAAATATTAGGATTTTAATTATTTTACACCAATTGTTGTTTTGTACCTTTATAACTAAATAATATTTTTATACAGTAATTAATTAACAAATATACAATTTATTTTATGTTTGCGGCATTTATTAGCTTAATAATTTAGAATTTATAACATTTTTTGTTCTCAAGGGTACTATTCTTGGTAATCAATTAAAAATTAATGTTGATTAAGCATAAATCTAAAACAAATCTAAATTCAATGCCAATTACCATCTGGTTTAATGTTGTTAACAAACTTACATGTTTATAAATAGATTTATTGTATATATTTAACTAACTTATATGTAAACTAAATTAATTTAAATACAACATTTACGGTCAAATTAAAATATTATTATAATAATATATAACTTAACTTATTATTACCTTTTATAATTAATTCTGAATGTAGTAATAAACATTCTTTTAGTGTATACTAGGACATTTAAGTGTTCCTAATCACAATATTGTAAATATTGTTGAATATGAGCAAGACAATATGTTTACGTTAACTATTTGTAAATAATTAACTAGACTTTTCCTAGAATGAGAGAGAGAGAGAGAGAGAGAGAGAGAGAGAGATCGTATGATTTTTCATATATTTAAGTACTTTACTAAACCAATTTCTCAATACATTTATCAATACAAAGCTTTGATTAGTCACGAAATTTAATAGAGAGAGAGAGAGAGAGAGAGAGAGAGAAATCATAAGACTACTAAAATAAACCATAAACTTATAATTAGATTACATTCTGGAAAAAAGTATTGAGAACTTTTACAATTCATTTTATTCATAGAAAATGTTATAAAAAATCACAGGAATATTACTTTAATTTACACTTACTTTATAACAATAGTTATGTTTATAACCAATAAAATGAAAGAAATATTTCTGCAAATATTGCAATTATTTACTCTCATTGAAAAATAGTTGATTAAAAACAATAAATATTTATTTAGAAACATCTAGAATATTTATACTTTCCTGACCTCGCCTAAGCTACCCACAAAACTAGATTATGTTGAATAGTTAGCTTGTTAAAACTGGGATTTATGCACAACCTGTCACAATCATATGCCGGCAAAAATTCCACAATAAATACAAACAATAATAAAATACTTTTAATTTCATGAGGATATAAAATCATGAGTTATGTTTTGTGAATGATTTTTATTTATTTATTAATAGTATACACGTTATAAGTGTGTGCCTAATGTTTACATAATAACTACAGTGCAGTACACTATACGTAATAATTACCGTTAAACAAAGTCTTATGACTGTAAAAGAGTACAGTAAAAGACCTTTTGTGTGAAGTTACAAAATTTTAGCTTTTGATTCATACAATTGATATGTTCACATAGTTAATACTTTTTAACATTATGTTTATATGATGGTGTTTTTGGATTAGTTCATACAAATGGTTAGTTCACACAAATGCTACTTCACACAAAAGATCTTTTACTGTACTGTATATATGTTTTATTACTACTTCTTAACTTCGCTATCAGTTTTGAGAATTTACTTTTTGCTATGAATTGCACTGTAATTGAACTGAGACTTTGAAATGAGGTAAATGTATTTTACTCCACAAAGACATTGATGAAATCAACTCAAAGTCTCCACAGAAAGTGTTTATAGTATTTAATTTTAATCAGGATATGGTATAGTTATTTCACCATAAGCGTTTATTTGTGCGTGAAATATGTCAACGACTGTACATCAGTTGACAACTTATTAGTTATGGTATAGCTTAAGATCTTTAGGGTATATAAAGACCTGTTCGCTCGGTTACTAACTTTCCAATGCAATGAAATAAAAATAAATTTCAAATTTTTTTCGATTATATAATTATTTAATTTATTATAAAATAAAGTTATAGAAAAAAGCATTGGATTTTTAATTTTCAAATTAACTCGAGGTTTTGATATAATTTTGTGTGCATTTAATGTAAATGCAATAAAAATAAATGTTTTTAGAATAAAACTTTCAAAAAACATATTTTATTTTTTAAAATAGGCATTTTTAGCAAAAAAATCTAACTTTTGTTTTATAAAATTTAGAAATATATAAATAAAACAAAGCAAAATAGAAATTATATTTAAAAATTAATATTAAAATTAAATAAAATCAAGAAAATAAATGATGATTCGTTTATGGATTGTATCCGTAATTATAGCCACAAATGGCTTACATCTGGCCTACGAATCGGTGGATACGGCCATACATTACATGTAAGTACACTATACATACCCAACACACATGAATATCATATGCTCTTGCTTAGTGAGTATAAATTACATTTATGGTATTTAAACTTTCACTTAATTCATTATGATATTACATTAAATGCATACCTTATTTATATTTATACCAAATTTAAACCGATGCAATCAATTATGTGTGCTATTTATTAATGAAATAATAATAACTATTAGGATATGATTTTATACCAAATATGTTCACTATAAGTCATCTACACTATTGAGTGAACTGTTTTGAAATCACAGATCAAAGTATATTTCGCCTTAATATTACGTCAGAATATTCTATAATTTTTTGTTTTATTTATTAACGCTTATACAGCGATCTGTCGTCTCTCTCTCTCTCTCTCTCTCTCTCCCTCTCTCTCTCTCTCTCTCATCGTTATGAAGAGTACATACAGTACATTACATATAATGATAAAGGA